AGTTACAGATGTAGTCACAGATGTTGTTACAGATATAGTTACAGATGTTGTTACAGATGCTGTTACAGATGTAGTCACAGATGCTGTTACAGATGTTGTTACAGATGTAGTTACAAATATTGTTACAGATGCTGTTACAGATGCTGTTACAGATGCAGTTACAGATGTTGTTACAGATGCAGTTACAGATGTTGTTACAGATGTTGTTACAGATGTAGTTACAGATGCTGTTACAGATGTTGTTACAGATGTAGTTACAGATGTTGTTTTGCATTAGTGTCATCAGTTAAGTTTGAGTTTTAGAATGTCTGCACCTGGGTCCACTCTTCACACTCCATGCAGCTTGCCTCGGCAAACTGTGACAGTATCACTGATATGAACTCAGAATATGAGCTGTGTGGTGTGTCTGGCTTTCTGAGAGCGGGAACTTTTTATTGATCACAGCAACAAAACCGTCTGTGATCATGGCTTAAATGTTGCTGAGAGTCTGAACCTGAACAGGACGAGTTTGATGAAGATCAGAATGAATAAATGTGTGGAAACACTGGTGTTCAGTCTTCTGTGTTATTTCTTTTGCACCCAGTCCCTCTGCAGCAGCCCAGCATCTCCCTGACGTCTCCTAATGGAGGACTGGTCTGGGGTCCTGAAGGTGCAGAGATCACCAAGGGCTCCAGCTTCGTCTTCAGCTGCTCCATTAACTCCAGCTATACTCCAGGATGTTTCAGGCTCTTCTTCTCTGGCATGAACCTCACAGAGGCTGCAGTCAACCACTCGGCCAGCTTTAGTTTCCCTGCAGCTGAGTATGAACATCAGGGCGACTACAGCTGTGTGTATGAGTTACTGCTGCCATCAAGGACGTTCACTTCTCCTGAGTCAGCACCAATTCATCTCATCATCACATGTGAGTAGAGCACAGGACTCAAATCCAGATTGAACATGTTGTTTCAACAGCTCTACATATAAATACATGTATGTGTAGATACTTGTGACTCCAAAATTGTAATACAGGGCTACTCTGCTGC